GTACTCCAGCCTGGGTGACAGAGGGTTAGCCTCTGTCTCAAAAAAGAAAAACAAAACAAAACAAAACAAAAAAACAGAACCTATTTCCCTGGGTCACGGAGCGGTTCTTGACTTGAACATGGCAATCAGAACAACTCGTGGGTACACACTGCACCAACCCCAGCCTGACAGCACAAGAGGCAGTGCCTCCTTTCTCCTGCAGCCTGGCTGAGTTGCCCTGTGCGGGGGTCATATGGGGCCATCTGAAGATGAGCCTGGGCTGAGGAGCAGCACCCACGGTGGCAAGGGCAAGGAGTACCCTGCTTTATCCTGCCACGCGCCTTCTTCCCCAGCCACAGGGCACTTTCATGTGCTATGCCTGAGCCCAGCAGACTCTTCCACCCAGCCCGCTGCCTCCCTGCTGCCTCCTCCTCTTTCACATCTCATCCTGAGCCTCCTCTCTGGAAAGGCTTTCCTCGACCCCTCAAAGGAAAATAAGGCCTCCCTCTGATTCTCTAAAAGCACCAGTTTTTCCCTCCTTCACAGCATTACAGTATTTGCAATTATGTATCTGTTTCCAGGTTTAGTATACGTCTCCTGACTCACACTGGAAGCTCTCGGAAGGCAGAGACTGTTTCGGTCCTGCTCACTCCTAAACCCCTCCTGACACAGGTACTCAGCCATTCCTTGAGAAGGAGCTCAATGGAGGGCCACCTGTCTGTGCTGGTGCAGACTGACTTGGGCACCTGAGAGCTGCCCCTTGGAGGTTCTGAAGGGTCACTGAGGGTCAGAGTGTCGGCTTGTCCTGTCTGACCAAGTGCCGGGGGTCCCAGGCAGGCTGTTGTACAAGGAACAGGATAAGCTCCCAGGACCCTTCTCTGATGGAGATCTGATCATTCTAAGAGCCTCTGTATGTGCTAAGACCAGCACAACAGTCCCACGAATCTGTGGAGACCCAGCCCGTTCTGTGCCCTTAGCCTGAACCACCTTACTCCTACTTAACAATAAAGAGAGTAATGATCAGAGGGTGTGAGTCACTTGTCCAAGGTCACACAGCTAACAACCTGTGAGGGCGGAATGGAAACCAGGCAAATGGACTCCAGAACCCAAGCCCTTAGCCACTCCACCCACCTGTGGACAAGGTCTGCCTTCTAGCTCCTCACCTAGTCCAACACGCTGCCAAACTCCCCAGCCTGACAGGGCCGCAGCATCTCCACATTTCTTTACTAAGTGGAAAAGCACAAACACATTGTAGCTCAAGATTTTAAAAACTGTGTATCTGACCCTGTCACTCCTTTGCTCAAAACCTTTGCATGGCTGCCTCATGCTCTTAGAATCAAGTCCAAGGTCCGGCCCCTATCTGTCCCCCTGGCCTTGGCATTGTTCCTCAGATGTGTCAAGCTCTGCGGGCCCTCTGGACCTTGTCAAGGGCAGTTCCCTGCCCAATGTGGCCTTTGCTGCACTCTTCCCCTGAGGCCTCCCGCTCCTCAGATCTCAGCTGAATCATCGCCTCTCAGGTGAGGTTTCCCCAAACCCCCTCAAATTTTCCTTCAAGAGCATTTACCACGAATGCCATCTGCTAAGATCTAATGGGCTGAATGTCTTGCCATCTTCCCTTCTAGGTTCTAAGATCCTTAAGGGGAGGGAACACATCAGTCTATTCAGTGCTCAACCCTGAGCTTAGTGCTAAGCCTGGCATACAAGAGGGGCTCAATACTTGTTGAAAGAATGTCAGATGAATCCATGAACGCCTGGGGTACGAATGAGATTCCAGCTCAGATAAGAACAGCCAGGTACATGCAAGGACAGAATATCCCTCGCTAGCCTCATTCTCAGCCTATCATCAACAGGGCCTGGACCCAACCGCTGAGACAATCCACCAGCAGCTCCGCAAACCCCCATCCATGGGCCTGGCCTGCAAATGGAAAAGACAGAGCTGCAGAGAGCCCCAGAAGTCCCATGGGCCAGCTCCCGGCCCCAGGCCCCCTGCCTACCGGACATCTTTGTCGATCTGCAGCAGCACCTCGTTGTCCTTGAAGTATGTGTTCCACCGGCTGTCAGGGTTGGGGTTGAGTGGCTGTGGGGAGAAATGAAGATGCTCGTCCGAGGCCCAGATAGGCGCCTGGGCCCGATGTTATCCCGGAAACCTGAACAGTGGCCTTGCTGCAACAACCCCACCACACACTGAGATGTGGCCCTGACACCACCTGCAAGCTACTCAGAGGAGCCAACACAGCCCTTCCCACAGCCTCCTGAATCCGTTTGAACTCCACAGCCAGAAGCCCAGCCTGGCAGCCTCCTCTGAGTACATCTCTGCTGGGCAGGGACTCTGTTCCTTTTCTGTCCATTGCTGTAGCTCGAGAACTTTGCATGTGACAGTTGCTCAGTAAATGTTTGCTTGCTGAATGAATGAATTCGGTTTCTTCAGCTCTCATTCATCGATGCTCTGAGTCGTCAATTCCTATCTGTGAGTCTGGGCCTGGGCCCATCCATTTCTTTCTCCCATGCTGTGAAGCCCAGGGAGGAGCTCAGCATTTGAGGAGAACACGGCTTCCTGGCAGCCACAGAGGGCAGCCTAGCCTCCCTCCCGCCCTGCTCTGACTTTCTTCAAACAACAGGAATGAGGGTTGAAATAGACCATGTCCTCAGAGCACCTGACGCAGGGCTGCCCTTGCCATGCTCCCTGGACCCCAACTACCGTTTGTCTTACTGAGCTCAGGGCCCCCAAGTTTAGCGACCCAACACAGAAAGGAGGAACTGGAAGGTCCAGAGGGGACTGACACCAGACTGCACCTACCCCCTGGCATGCAGGGGGCCTTGCCTGCTCCAAGGCCGCCACCCCTCCACATTCTGTATCCTGGGTCTCTGCTGGCAACCTCTACTCACGTGGTCCTCAAAAGTCACATCCTCCCTGGACACACCCATGTTGGCCTTGGCAATGCCAGGCTGGATGATCATTTCCCTCAGGAACTGGGCATACAGCTCCCTGCAGGAGACAAGCGAGAAGGATGATTCCCAACAGTCCTACCCAGGGAGCCCAGACCAAAGCAGCAGCTGCAGGAGGCAGGGCGGCCCCAGCAGCACCGGGTCCGTCAGATGCAAGGGCCCTCCTGTCACTGCCCTTACACGGGGTCTCACCTCTGTTTGGCCAGGATGGAGGTCCATGAGGCTCTCTCCAAGGGAAGGTAGTTCAAGAGAATCTGCACAGAGGGAGAGGGGCAAAGCTCTGGTGACCCTCCTGCATCAACGTCAGTCTTTAGGCGGGGCTGATAGGCCTCAAGAAAAACATCTCATAAAGTCCCAAGAAGACAAGATGGGCGGAAACCCAGGAATGCCAGCATGAGCTAGGTCTAGCCTCCCCCTTCCTCCCCACTGCCTCCCTCCTCCTTTAACCCAAATCAGCCCTTCCCTCTGCTTTTCCTCACACAGACTCTTCCACACGATCACCAGACCCTGTGCTGTGAAGGGCTGGAAACCAGGACACTGGGCTTCCATGGCCACCTGAGCTGGAAGCTTTGGGCAAAGCACAGCCTTTGTTTTGTCCCAATAAGCATGACTTTCACTGTACTTCACAGACCAGGAAGCAGAGGTCTTCGTTGTTGGCATTACAAAGTATCCCATCCCCAAGGGGAATTCCAGAGGACACCAAGAGGAACAGAAAACCCAGGACTTCCCAGAAAAGTTCCCTCAGACAAGCAAGGAAAGGTGCAGAACAGTAGGAAGAAGCCAGGGGTAGGGGCAGCCTATGCAGGAAAACCCAGGGATGCTCAGCAGAGCGGAAGCCCCACCCCAGGCACACCCACCTTCCAGCAGAGGCACCGCAGTCCGCCCTCACAGGGGATGCCTGTGGACACAGCAAGCAAAGGTCATGTCCCAGGCCAGAGTCCCAGAACCCCCAGCCCTTCACCTTGGAGCCAGCTAGCGGGGAGTAGAGTGGGCAAGAAGTCCTTCTTCAAGAATCTTTTCCCCAAGAAAGATTACTAGACTGGATGATTTGGTTTTTTTTCTTTGTTTGTTTTGAGATGGAGTCTCCCTCTATCACCCAGGCTGGAGTGAAGTGGCGCAACCTCGGCTCACTGCAGCCTCCGCCTCCTGGGTTCCAGCGATTCTCCTGCCTCAGTCTCCCAGGTAGCTGGGATTACAGACACGCACCACTGTGCCTGGCTAATTTTTGTATTTTTAGTAGAGACAAGGTTTTTACCATGTTGGCCAGGCTGGGCTTAAACTCCTGACCTCAGGTGATCGCCCGCCTTGACCTCCCAAAGTGTTAGGATTACAGGTGTGAGCCACCACACCCGGCCCAGACAAGATACAAATTTTTTTTTTTTTTGAGACAGAGTCTTGCTCTGTTGCCCAGGCTGGAGTGCAGTGGCATGATTTCTGCTCACTGCAACCTCCACCTCCCCGGTTCAAGCGATTCTTCTGCCTCAGTCTTGCAAGTAGCTAGGAGTACAGATGTGAGCCACCACTCCTGGCTAATTTTTGTATTTAGTAGGGACGGGATTTCACCATGTTGGCCAGGCTGGTCTCGAACTCCTGACCTCAGGTGATCCACCCGCCTCAGCCTCCCAAAGTGCTGAGATTACAGGTGTGAGCCACCATGCCCGGCCTGGAATGTTCTTTTGAGGATAACACCTTCTCATCCTTGATATTCCTTCCTCAGGAGCAGCCTTTACCAACCACCATCTCATCCCAATTCAGGTCAGTTCCCCCGTTATAAGCAATAATGGCTCTGTTACTATTTCATAGCATCTGTCATAAGTGGAACTGTTATATATCTACACAGCAGTGGTGTGTTTTCTTAACGTCTGTAACCCCTACTACTGGGTAAGCCCCAGAAGACAAAAACCACACCTGTTATTCCCAGCGTCTAGCACAGAGCATTGCACATAGAAGATATTCCATACGTATTTGTGGAATATAAACTAAGCTATGAATGCTAAGTATTTTGTGCTTTACAGGTATTATTTCATTTAATCCTCATGATAACCCCAGTAAGTAGGGAAGATTAGCATAATTGTCCTAAGAAGGAAACTTAACTGTAAAACTCTTAACTACTAACACTGACTGCCTCCCCTTTGGGGCCTGTATTTCACTCCTGAACAGAAAGACAAAGTTCTCCTCCAATAATATCAGGAAGCTCACTAGAGCAGTTGCTGCTATACATGAACATGAGCTAATGCCTCCACTTCAGAATCTGTATGATGATGGCAGGGACAATATAAGAAGTTCTTTTTTTTTTTTGAGATGGAGTTGCACTCTTGTCACCCAGGCCAGAGTGCAATGGTGCAATCTCAGCTTGCTGCAATTCCCAGGTTCAAGAGATTCTCCTGCCTCAGCCTCCCAAGTAGTTGGGATTACAAGCAAGTGCCACCATGCCTACCTACTTTTTTATATTTTTAGTAGAGACTGGGTTTCACCATGCTGGCCAGGCTGTTCTCGAACTCCTGACCTCAGGTGATCCACCTGCCTCGGCTTCCCAAAGTGCTGGGATAACAGGTATGAGCCACGGTGCCCGGCCAGAAGTTCTTGCTGGCAAAGTTACAGGGGCAAAAAAGTGACAAGAAGCGATGCAGAACACGTTGGGATATTTTTTAAAACAGGCAAAAAGAGAGTTATCTTTGTGCTGGTTGGGGCAAAGTCTAACAAGGCAGGATCGGCTCCTTAAAGTCAGTGTCCCAAGGCTATTTTACCGCTAACCAAAGTTTACTGCCGCCTCAGGCAGCTTAGACCCCAAGCTAGGGAGAGAACCAGGAACCACCCTGCAGTTAACCAAATTCGCCAACACAGGAAGCTGGCTAAGGAATGAGGAAAGACTGTCCTGGGTTCAAAAGGGTCCCCCCATTCTCATTCTCCAGTCTTCAGTCCTGTCCTGTTACTCTCAGGAATCTGGCACCTCCTGTCGAAAGCTTAAGGGCAAGGCACACTAAGTGTGGCCACTACCCCTCTGGGAAACCCCTCCAAGCTCAAGGCAGTCACTGCCTGTTCAGCTCTACAGAATCTGGAGAAGGCCCCAAGTGTAATTTCCTTCCATGGCCCCAGCCCCCAGCAGCTGGGCCCCAGAGCTGACCAGGTGTGGCCTTGAGCACCTCCCCCGGTATTCTAGCCACAGGGCTGCTCTAGGGAAACCCTGAAAATAAAGAATGGCTTCTTACCACTAAAGCTGAGTTCCCGCAGCTTTTCCAAAGCAATTGAGGGCTCCTTCAGGACATCCTGGAAATCTGCAATTCTAGAAGGGGAGACAGGGAGGCAAATGAAGCACGCTTATATCGGCTCAGTGAGACCCACAGCCCTCAGCTCCCTCACACCGCCAGTTTCCAACCTGTGCCTCTCTTCCCTTGAGGACATAAAAATCACACAGCTTAGTCAAGGTCCTCACAAGAGACAGCTTTGGAGAACAACAAAACCATATTTCACTTTTTCCTCTACAACCAGAAACACAGAATGCCAGGGAAGAAACTTGAGAGATAGTCTTGTCTAGAAGTTCCCAAATGTGGACCATAAAATTAGACACATTCCAACATTCTAATATTTAGTGAGCTGACGTTTACTGGGCACTTCCTGCCGGCCAGGCCGGGTCCACAGCACAGCCACCAACTGAACTCCTTGGACCTCAGGAACCAGGAGTAATTTGATCTGCAGACAATGGACAACGCTCACAAATACAACCATTACAAGACCTCTGGGCCTGCCAGAAGACAAGGACAAAGGGTTTAAAAAACACGTCCCGAAGGAAAACTGAAGAGTGAGCAAAATTCAGCCAATGCTGCAGGATCTGGCCTGGGGGAGGGGCCAGACTGGAGAATGCAAGTTCTCTAGCAATCCTAGTAAGAAAAAAGCACGGAGGACAGGGTGCACTTGGAGAGAGTACAGGAGCAGGAGACTCAAAAGGGGGAAAGGGAGAGGGCGGGGCATGGAGGTCCGGATGAGGAAGACTCAGGGGAAGGGGGAAACCAGGGGTCCAGGATGAGGGAGGCAGAAGGAGTGACACCAGGGGCAGGAGAAGGGCCGCCTCTCCGTCCTTCCTGCAGCCCACAGGCAATGAGGTTAGGTGGACGCTCGAGACCCTCTGCCGGGGTGGGGGGAGGTCTGCCGATTCCTAGCCCCACCCGCGCTTCCCCCTTCTGAGGGGCAGAAGGGGCAGCCTGGCCAGGAGGAGCTCAGCCGGGTCAGGCCCCGTAGCCCCTTACCGGCTCTTGTGCAGACTTGACATGGTGTTGACTTCCGGACCCCCCAGCCGCCTCCGCCGCCTGCGCCTCGGCCGCCTGCGCCGCCACCACCGCCGCCCCCCAGGGACGCGGGGCGCTGGGCAAAATCCTCCGGCGGGAAACGCAGCCACTAGCCTGCGCGTTCCGCCGCCCCGGCCCCGCCCCGCCTGTCACGTGCCACCCCTCTACTCTCACGCTTCCACCCGATACCGGAGGCCACTGCCGACCTGGTTGGGCGGGGCAACCTCGGGTCGGGTGGGCGTGGCAATAGCGGGCCGGGAGTCCCCAGGGCCGCGGATCCTGCCGGCCAAATTTGAGAACCCGCCGGTGACAGTGCAGACTGTATGTCTCTGGACTATTCCTTGCGCTTCCCTGGGCCTCAGTGTCTACTTACGCAATATATCTGTCACCCTGTCGTCTTCCTTGCAAGCCCTGTAATTAACTACTGCAGGATTGTTACAGGAGTCTCGGCCTCCCCTGCTCAACTGGGCAGGCCCCCCCAGCTTATCTTGGTCTCTGCAGAGTCCTCAAGGCCTGTATAGCAGGGACTCGCATGAACCACCGTGCCCGGCCCAACTTTTTTTTTTTATAAAAAGTATACCAGCCAACCCTATAAAATGTTAGGAAGACAGGAAAAAACACACACACACACACACACACACAAATAATATCTTAAGAAAAATAGGGGCCGGGCGCGGTAGCTCAAGCCTGTAATCCCAGCACTTTGGGAGGCTGAGACGTGCGGATCACGAGGTCAGGAGATCCAGACCATCTTGGCTAACACGGTGAAACCCCGTCTCTACTAAAAAATACAAAAAACGCCGGACGCGGTGGCTCAAGCCTGTAATCCCAGCACTTTGGGAGGCCGAGACGAGGCAAAAAACTAGCCGGGCCAGGTGGCTGGCGCCTGTATTCCCAGCTACTTGGGAGGCTGAGGCAGGAGAATGGC